TCCATACTGGTCTGTACTGGTCCATACTGGTCTGTACTGGTCCATACTGGTCTGTACTGGTCCATACTGGTCTGTACTGGTCCGTACTGGTCCGTACTGGTTTATACTGGTCTGTACTGTGGTCTCCGCCCTGCAGACCCCCCCTCGGCGCGGATCCTGCCCTCGCAGAGCGTGCTGCGCCAGGGCGACACGCTGGTGCTCACCTGCGCCGCCAACGGCAACCCGCGGTGAGACAGCACACCTGGGATACCTGGGGATACCTGGGGTACCTGAGATACACCTGGGCACACCTGGGGATACCTGGGCACTGACATAACACACCTGGGCACAGCTGGGCACACCTGAGATACACCTGGGCACAGCTGGGATACACCTGAGATACACCTGGGGGCACCTGGGGGCACCTGAGATACACCTGGGGTACACCTGGGGACACCTGGGCACACCTGGGGTACACCTGGGCACAGCTGGGGATACCTGAGGGCACCTGAGATACACCTGGGGATACCTGGGGTACCTGGGGACACCTGGGGATACCTGGGGTACACCTGGGGGGGTATAACACACCTGGGCACAGGTATCACACACCTGGGGATACCTGAGATACACCTGGGCACACCTGAGATACACCTGAGATACACCTGGGCACAGCTGGGCACACCTGGGGGGGTATAACACACCCGGGCACAGGTATCACACACCTGGGGATACCTGAGATACACCTGGGCACACCTGAGATACACCTGAGATACACCTGGGCACAGCTGGGCACACCTGGGGGGGTATAACACACCCGGGCACAGGTATCACACACCTGGGGATACCTGAGATACACCTGGGCACACCTGAGATACACCTGAGATACACCTGGGCACAGGTATAACACACCTGGGCACAGCTGGGCACACCTGGGGGGGTATAACACACCTGGGCACACGCTGGTGCTCACCTGCGCTGCCAACGGCAACCCGCGGTGAGAGAGCACACCTGGGCACCCCTGGGGGCACCTGGGCACAGCTGAGATACACCTGGGGGGGTATAACACACCTGAGCACAGGTATCACACACCTGGGATACACCTGGGCACTGACATAACACACCTGGGGATACCTAGGATACACCTGGGCACACACCTGGGGTCTCACCTGTGCCCCCTGGCAGCCCCACGGAGCTGTCCTGGAGCCGCGGGAACAACACCTGGGCACACCTGGGGGCACCAGTGACACACCTGGGGCACACCTGGGGGGGTTCTGACACACCTGGGCACCCCTGGTGACACACCTGTCCCTGGCAGCCCCACGGAGGTGTCGAGGAGCCGCGGGAACAACACCTGGGCACACCTGGGGGCACCAGTGACACACCTGGGGCACACCTGGGGGGGTTCTGACACACCTGGGCACACCTGGTGACACACCTGTCCCTGGCAGCCCCACGGAGGTGTCGTGGAGCCGCGGGAACAACACCTGGGCACACCTGGGGGTGGCTGTGGGCACACCTGGGGTTCCCTGTGCTCACCTGTGCCCACCTGTGTGCCCCCAGCCCCACGGAGGTGTCGTGGAGCCGCGGGAACGAGTCGCTGCCGGCGCGGGCGCGCGCCGAGGGCGAGCGGCTGACGCTGCCGGCGCTGGCGCCGCAGGACAACGGCACCTACACCTGCCAGGTGGGCAACGCCCACGGCCGCGCCCACGACACCTACGTGCTGGTGGTGTACGGTGAGCACCGGGGGGCACCTGGGGGCACCTGGGGGCACCTGGGGGGGCTGGGGGGCACCTGGGCACACCTGGGCACACCTGGGCA